ACTGTTTGCATTGTTTTGTGTTTTTGATTTTTTTTTTAGAAAAGAGGGGGGAGGGAGCCGTGATATAGATTTTTTTAAATGATAAACAGCAGCTATAAAATGAGATAATATTTTAATGTTTAGTAAATACATGTAGGTAACAACTTTTTGACACATAAAACATAAAATATGAATAAAAGAAGATGCAAAGAAGATGCAAAGTATACATCAATAAAATAGAAACCCAACAACACACAACTGAACAGCATGAATTTCGCTGTTTTTACTTTATTAGATTGTCAGTTCCATTATGCACCACTTTTCACGTGCAAATTGTAGAGTTTTTATTATGACAACATTAGAGTGAAGTATATTAGCAAAAAACTTAGACTTTCTTCAGCGCAGGCCTACGTAAAATAGGCGAGTTACAGCATTGTGCAATGCCGTCAATCTGAGTAGATGTACATTTTATATCACAGTGTTGTATCGGCAACAGACGAAGAAACAGCATAATTTCATCGTAAGCGATTAAAACTGCTAAAGTCTGTTTTCAGTCAAAGTCAGAGTCACACTGGCATAACCATTCCGCGAGGGGAAAAAAGTCGTAAGTCGAAGTTGATGTCAGTATGATACCAGATTTATCGGAGTTGTGGAGAAACAATCCACTTAGTTGACCATGCAGAGAGGACGTTAATTTAATCAATCGTCTGAAGAAAAAACAGTGAGAGGATCTGAGAAATCGGTGTACACTGCAGTGTAAAAGGAAGAAACAAATGTTAACACTGCTGAAGAAGCAGTTAAAGTGATTACACCCAGACAGAATATAACAGAACAAAGACAATCGCATATTAAAAACGAGTCTTTTTAGAGTCAAAAAATTATTTCAAATAGAATCTGACTATTGTTGATATAAAGATTATAGTTAATTTTTTAGATTTTTTTTTTTTACTCTTCTTTTAGTTTGCGCTTGTTTTTATCTGTCTCCCGAAAATTAGTGAGGCTCACGTAGAGCGTATAAGGACGTTTGCGCAAATTTCCCAACATTGTGTGTGAGTTATTTATTTTATTTTTTGCTTGACATCCAAAAAACACCTTTGAGGCAAGTGCGTGTGTGCGTTTCTGGAAAATTAGTTCTTTCTTCACTCAGGAAATACCCCCAAAAAGCAAGTGTTAAAATAGTCCCATGTGTAATATCTTTACACTGAGAATTTCTGACACAATGGCTTTAATATGCATGAAGTATTTGCCACTGGACATTAAGCAAAAAAAATAATAAAATCAATCCGCTATATTTGAGACAAACAAAACTGGCAGTGCTATCAGATTTATATGATAATATATATTTTTTTCAGCCATCTGTGCACACGGTAAATGAAGTGCTGCATTAATAAAAGGAGATGTGAGGTATACGTCAATGAGACAGCAACCTAACTACAGAAATAATCGAAAGACATCTAGAGGTAACGTTTATAGTCTTCAACAATAGACAGGTGTCTTAAAAAGTATGTTATACAAGTGCTATCAGACTTATATATATATAAAAAAAGTCTAATTCTAACACTGTTGGGTGTAATTTTCAGACTTATATAAATATTTGTATTAACCATGCGTCTCAAACACACTGAGATCCAGTGGGCATATATATTGTATGGTTGTCACTTGCTTAGACTTGTTTGTATGATATACTTATTTCTAGTGACTGTATAATGAATTGAATCATTATCCCATACTGTATATAAAAATTGTTGAGTTAGATTGCTGACAAATAACAAATACATTGTGTATTAAATAATAATATAACATCTTCACACGCTTAAAAACACATGTCTTATGTCTATCTCTAGATTCGCCTTACGTGACAAGGTAACACTACGACTATTGAAGTTATATTTTTATATAGCGGATGTGGTCGTGGGGTCTAGAGCGCTGGACATGAGGCTAAGCGATTGGTGCTGTAGTGTATCAAAGGTGTGAGTTCGAATCCCGTTGAGGGACAAAAATTTGTCAGCACAAAAGTCTAATTCTAACACTGTTGGGTGTAATTTTCAGACTTATATATATATATATATATATATTTATATTTTTTTAGCCAGAAGTGTACACGGAAAATTAAATTTGAAATAGAAAGAGATTTAGATGTGGGTTATATGTCATTGGAACAGCAGCCCAACGACAGAAATAACCCAAAAACATCGTGATGCATACATACAGTCTACGACAGATAGACAGGTGATCAAACATTGTCAATATGTCTCGATTCCACAAAAGACATAAATAAATACAACAGAAACAATCAAAGATCTGGTGTTAACACTCAATTCCCTAAATAAAGGGGGAAATATTACGATATGACATACGACCACTAACGACAACGTTCCTGACGTAGGACACTCTAAGAAAATGAAACGGGATTAAAGTAAAGGGCCTTTTTTATGTCTCAACCACCCCCTTTTATCTTACAGCATTACTAGGAGAAATATGGCAAGAGTTGCATCTAAGATTTAATCCCGTCGCCTCAACGTACGTACGGGTTTCACTCAATCCCGAAAAGGGTTAAGGTCCCAACAGATCTAGACTGTGTTAAACTAGTCTGCGGTTATTTAACAAATGTTGCAACACAAAATTAAATGTAAAAATTATTTCTTTAAAAAGGTATATTAACACGGCTTTTTTCAAAGTTTTGCAAAATTTGTGTTTGTTATCAGGAAAAACCCATGATAAAGACTCATTTTATGATTTAGTCGTTGTTTAAAATTTTTTGGGACTTTTTAATTTTAATCTGCGCAGATCACAACTTCAAAAAATACGAAAAATGCCAAAAACCCTGCAAACGTATATAATACGTATATACACGATCCAGATTTTTGACAATACCTTATCTGAGGAAATTTTGCAAATTGTGTACTATATAAAGGTTTCAAGCCCTATACATCATATGCTAACCTCTGATAGAAGTAGCTTGTTTTGTTTCGTATTATGCATGGAGAATATTTTTTTACTTTCACTTTTACTGTTTGCATTGTTTTGTGTTTTTGATTTTTTTTTTTAGAAAAGAGGGGGGAGGGAGCCGTGATATAGATTTTTTTAAATGATAAACAGCAGCTATAAAATGAGATAATATTTCAATGTTTAGTTAATACATGTAGGTAACAACTTTTTGACACATAAAACATAAAATATGAATAAAAGAAGATGCAAAGTATACATCAATAAAATAGCAACCCAACAACACACAACTGAACAGCATGAATTTCGCTGTTTTTACTTTATTAGATTGTCAGTTCCATTATGCACCACTTTTCACGTGCAAATTGTAGAGTTTTTATTATGACAACATTAGAGTGAAGTATATTAGCAAAAACTTAGACTTTCTTCAGCGCAAGCCTACGTAAAATAGGCGAGTTACAGCATTGTGCAATGCCGTCAATCTGAGTAGATGTACATTTTATATCACAGTGTTGTATCGGCAACAGACGAAGAAACAGCATAATTTCATCGTAAACGATTAACACTGCTAAAGTCTGTTTTCAGTCAAAGTCAGAGTCACACTGGCATAAACATTTCGCGAGGGAAAAAAAGTCGTAAGTCGAAGTTGATGTCAGTATGATACCAGATTTATCGGAGTTGTGGAGAAACAATCCACTTAGTTGACCATGCAGAGAGGACGTCAATTTAATCGATCGTCTGAAGAAAAAACAGAGAGAGGATCTGAGAAATCGGTGTACACTGCAGTGTAAAAGGAAGAATCAAATGTTAACACTGCTGAAGAAGCAGTCAAAGTGATTACACCCAGACAGAATATAACAGAACAAAGACAATCGCATATTAAAAACGGTTCTTTTTAAAATCAAAAAAATATTTCAAAAAGAATCTGACTATTGTTGATATAAAGATTATAGTTAAGTTTATAATTATTTTTTTTTTCATTTTTCTCTTCTTTTAGTTTGCGCTTGTTTATATCTGTCTCCCGAAAATTAGTGAGACTTACGTAGAGCGTATAAGGACGTTTGCACAAATTTCACAACATTGTGTGTGAGTTTATTATTTTATTTTTTGCTTGACATCCAAAAAACACCTTTGGGGCAAGTGCGTGTGTGCGTTTCTGGAAAATTAGTTCTTTTCTGACACAATGGCTTTAATATGCATGAAGTATTTGCCACTGGACGTTAAGCAAAAAAATTTAAAAAAAAAATCAATCCGCTATATTTGAGACAAACAAAACTGGCAGTGCTATCAGATTTATTTATATAGCAACCTAACTACAGAAATAACCGAAAGACATCTAGGGGTAACGTTTAAAGTCTTCAACAATAGACAGGTGTCTTAAAAAATATGATATACAAGTGCTATCAGATTTATATATATATATATAAAACAAGCGCAAAAAGCAAGTGTCAAAATAGTCACATGTGTAATATCTTTACACAGAGAATTTCTGACACAACGGCTTTAATATGCATGAAGTATTTGCCACTGGACGTTAAGCAAAAAAAAATCAATCCGCTATATTTGAGACAAAGAAAACTGGTATGGCTATCAGCTAATACCTGGAACGTAGTACCGGGAACCAGGATAATTGTTCGCTGGCTTATTGTTCACTAGCTTGAGTCTGGTGTTCATTATATCGCACATTACTATTTTTGTTAGAAGCATATTTATGCAGTCTCTGTTGTAAATACTTAACCTACGTCATTTTTGAAATTTTCGAATTGTACAAGCGTTGTTCGGTTTTAATTGTATAAATCTAAAGATTGTTATAGTTTTAAATCAGAATAGATTGATATGATTAATTTTACATCATAATCATACTGATGAAGGATGTCTGTTATTCGAAATATTTATAGATAATTACATTTTATAATGTTTCCTTTTTTTAATATTGGTGTTGTCTTGTACACTTTTTGGGCGTTTATATGATTTATTTATTGTGTACAGGTATCGTTACTCGTAACGATCCAGCGCCCTCGTAAGAAAGATCGTTGACTTATATCTAGACGTTTTACATGTATAGTTATCTCGTGAATTTTGATAAAATGACAGTGTTCTATTTTTATCCCTGGATGGAAAATCCATATTATTTTACTTTCATAATGAACTGAAGAAAAAAGAAGAGGTTAGTGATACAAAAAAGAAATTTGATGAATAGTTGTGCATGCATAAGGACATACATGTTAAAGGTTTTAGGTATTTATCCACCCACATTGGGGAAATGTATGTCGGACTTATAATTACACTTTTTCACTTTTTTTGGTCTTTTGGAGAATGTTGTTTGTGCTGTATTTAGACCCCTCTACCAAGACATTTGTTTTGCATGCAAACGTATAAAAATTGCGGTTTTTATCCAACGCAATCATAGATTTGAACGTTATTTTCAATTTATACTTGTTTGGACTTATAATTACTATATATATACAGCGAGTTCAAATAACGCCCTTCTTCTCATATTTTTTAAGTAAATGATAATTTTGTTTATTGTAATAATGGTTTTATGGTTTATTTTCTTACATATTCTCATATTCAACTTAGACTATTTAATATGAAATGCAATTATACCACAACGGATAGAACCTACTCAATAAAAGTGGGTGTGTATGAAAGTAGATTATTCCTAATTTTATGCAAAATTAGTAAAATGTTCGAAATAAAACATTTGAAATATTCCGGAAACGTCGTGGTAGGGTAAAATGTCTTCCTGTGGACTGTTATCACGAGAACCTTCACGTTAAAAATTCGGATCGATGTATTGTTCTAGCACAAAGCAGTGTTCATGTCTCTTTAACATGTTTTCGTCTTGATATGTATATATTATTTACCACTGGACGTTAAATATCAATCCATGATTATCATTATCGTCATCATCATCATCTTTGTTTATCGTTAAAGATGACGGTATGTTCAGTCATTAATCAATTGATTGGTTGATTGAATGACTGATTGCTTGTTTGCTTGACTGTTTGCACAACGTAAAAATATTTCATATTGATTAATTAATTGATCGTGTGTTGTCCAGTGACAAATATTCAACGCCAATGTTTAATGTCAATGCTCCCCTTCCTTCAAATTAAGATGCCGCGCGGGAACAAGTTCCAAGATGAAATACACACAGCCGGGTTTGTAGAACAAGCAAAAAAAATATAGGGAGGACCATGATCCACCTAAATTACATTGGTCAGGTCAGTGAAAGATCTTTACTTTTACTTTTGAATTATGGTTATTCTAGAAGCATGCATGGATTTAACACCCCTTTTTTCCCTTCCAAAAATGTCTTTCTATATTTTGACTTTTTTTTTATCTAGGTACCCGGAGTTTATGCTTAATTTATTTGTTGTGTTCGCATTTTGTTTTCATTTGTAGAGAAATGAGACATTGATCTTAAATTTTGAATTATTATGTAGTACTTTCAAATCATATTTGAATCTGAAAATGTCCTTGCACTTTCTTTCTCTCTTAGAGACCCATCCTTGTGTGGTTAATCGAGAAACTGGTCCTTAACTTGCCTCTTATTTTGAAGGTAAGGGGGGCATTTAACCTATGTCTGTGAGTAAAGAATATGCGTTAAATATTTGTCACAGGACGTCACATAAATAATAAAAAAAATAAATAAACAACATAACATATGCGTCTCTTTATGTTAGGCAAACTGTCAACCAATCAGTCAATCAACCTATCAATCGATTAATGTATGCAAAATACTTCAAACTTGACATCATGTAAATTTTCAATCAATTTATCTATCAATCATTTGTACCTTTCAAACAACCAATCGATATAAATAAAATGTCAACTGATGCAATGCAAAACATTTAATCCTATATACAACCACCAACCAACTAAAAACTAGGTTATACTTGTATCTCAATTGTTTGTAAAGCAATTGAAAGGTCTTTCCCTTAAAAGTCTGATATTTGTAATGTACTGTCTACGACCTTTCATTTGATATGCAACAAGTATACTTTCTTAAACATTTCACTTTTCACACTTTATGACCGTATCCACCTCAATTATCGAGATCGGAATTATGATATTTGTGATACAGACTTGATGTCCTTTCATTTGATATGTGACAACACCATCTTCTTGGAAGTTTAATTTTTTGCACTTAATAACCCCATCTAAATCATTTTGAGGAACAGGAATTTTAAATTTGAAATGTACACATTAAGACCTTTCATTTCAACCTAACTTGCGAAGACAATTTATGTTTTGCACTCAATGAACCCACCAAACCCATTTTTAGGGGACATAAATTTGATATTTGAAATGTACGCTTTATGGAATTTCATTTGATATGCGACAAGCTTACTATCTTACAAGTTTTAATTTTTGCACCTGATGACCACACCCTTCTCATAAGGATGGTAAAGGGGGTTTTAACATTTGAAGGTCAAGATGATATTTCCTCATGACCTTGTCATTGACGTCAAATTGAAGACTAAAATTAACTGATCATTTTTTGCAGTTTATAGTAGGTTTGATATCTGTTACCATTTCAAAAATATTCACAATAAAACTATTCTTAAAAGAATTATCTCGTCGTAACTTTTGAACGGCAGGTCGGAGAGTTTTGGATCTAATGTATAAATTGTAGAACTCTCCGAGAGGAAAATTTTATTTGCTGTGTATATGCAGATATCTCATATCGTTTTCTTAACACTTAAGCTTGGAATTTAAGGGGAAATTGTTGTTGCACTCTATGACCTTTGACCTTGGTTGCGAATGAAAGGTCCGATGATTAAGAATATTGGTGAAGGTCCCATGTATCTATAACTTCTTGTTCTCGAAATATATTTTTTTTTTCAAAAATTGGGTATAATAAGGGTTGATTCCAAAAATAATTGTTTATGTTTAATAACATTGCCATCTGTTTCTGTACATGCTTTTCTTTTCAGATCGATTCTATCTGTAACAGGTTTTTAAGATATATGCAAAAAAAGTAATTGTTTCAAGGGTATTTAACTCTAAAAGTTGACTATAAAACCCTATGCAGCCTCATCTGGTAATACTTCTTGATAAGATCTACCTATTGGCCATGATATCTTTAAGAGAAATTGGTGGTTGGGGGGAGGGGGCATGTCGAAAAAAAAAATAACCTCTAAAGGGGATGATGAAATCCTACACAACGTCATCTGGTAATACTTCATAATGAGGTCTATCGATGGTCTTACTTTGGTCTTGATAACCTCAATAGAAACTGTGGAGAGGGGCCATGTAATGGAAGTTGAAGGGAAGAATATGTTTTGGACTGCATGGTTTTTCTGTGGATTTGCACATTACATACAATATTTGAGTGTTTATATATAAAGGTAATCAGACATGTCACATGTGTAATGTAAACAACTGATAGACGAGACATTTATATAAGCGATAATCTCAAAACTATTCATTTACAACTGATTAAATCCGTGTCCTTATAGCTTTCTTACATTGCTACAGTCGTTAGGTAAGGTCTGGTCTGTCCGCCTGTTTAAAGTCTTTCTCCTACCTTAAACAGAACGACCTTATTGTTTTTCAAATGTTTTTCTTTCATTTTATTCTTCTAACAGTTTTTTTACATACCCTGAATCGTCTTCTTCTTTTCATTATAAATTTATGTTAACACAATCTCTACAATTGTTACCAAAGCGGTCAGTTTTTAATGGCGGAGGAAGCCGGAGTGCCCGGAGAAAACCACCGACCTTCTGTAGAAAAACTGACAATCCTAGTCAATAAAAATTGGAATCGAGTGCTCCTGCCCCGTGCGAGATTCGAACCCAAACCCTCATTGTTGAATAAAGACTATAGGTTTCTTGTTAATATCTAGGAAATGACGAAGATATAGTCAGCCAACTCCTGTTTACCTAAATTGTCTATCGGTGAATATATGTTTTGAATCAGGAACTTAAATATAATAATAGCTAGGAATTGTACAATTAATAAATAAAAGCTCCTCTCGCTTTGCACAATTTGACTTCTTGCAACATTTCTCAAGTCACATTTTTCAAAAGCAAAAGCTTATAATAAGATATATCAGATTATCTTAAACAAAACCACAGTTATGATAACTAAATCAAAAATAGACATTGATCCTTATAAAAAAATGTCTCACATAGAGATAAAATGATTCACGTTTCTTACTGGTTTAAACCTTAGAAGCCCATCATGTAATTCAATTTATAAAACATAAACTAGACATTCGATAAGACTGTTGGTTTTCCTGTTTGAATGGTTTTACACTAGTATTTTTTAGGCCCTTTATAGCTTTCTGTTCGATGTGAGCTAAAGCTCCGTTGGTTTTCCTGTTTGAATGGTTTTACACTAGTCTAGTAATTTGTGGGGCCCTTTATAGCTGGTTGTTCGGTGTGAGCCAAGGCTCCGTGTTGAAGGCCGTACTTTGACCTATAATGGTTTACTTTTAGAAATTGTGACTTGGATGGAGAGTTGTCTCATTGGCACTCATACCACATCTTCTTATATCTATATTATGGATTGACCAAACAAATAAACAGTTGAATTGAATAAGAAGCCTATAAGATTTGCACATGTTATACGCATTTTTGTCGTTCAATTTGATGCAGTTAAGACTTGTATGCGAAGCAAACAAGAAGAACACTAACTGTTACAACTGTGGGTAACTATTTCATAACTGTTATACCAAAAACAAATACATGGAATACTACTATTAGGGGCTTCATATAGAGAGATACATGTTTTAAAGAATTTGTTATGCATAGATTCAATCCAATTCAATCTTTCAATCCAATTAATTACAGCCTGATCCAAACTAGCATCTGAGTCATATATTTTAAATAAAATAGTCTAAAACAAAATTATAGAAAAAACACCCCTCCCCTTAACCATAATATTAAGATCATGTTGTCAATATATTCAGTTTTGATTGAATGATTGATTGTTGGTTGCTTTACGTCCAGTGGCAATTCAGTTTTAATGTTCTACCAATATATTGATTTTAAATGAAAAAATGACAATTCAATAAAACAAACAACATGAAAATTTGTTAATTTGAACTTTGTCAAAGGAGTAGGTCCAGTAAGACCCCTTTTTGACCCCAAAATATAGCAGTTTTACAAAATTGTCAAAATGTAAACTTTTATCTATTTATTGAAAAGTAGAATACTTCTGTTACATAAATTTGGGCTGTTTCTGACAATACAATGCACATATATCGAGTACTAACATCATTAATTCAGAGTAAATTACTGAAATCTTCACAACTGTAGCATTTGAGTTAAATTTTAGACGGTTTCTGTCTTAAATGGAAGTGGCCGCATTTGTGTTCATTCTTTATATTGACATGTAAGTTGTATTTGATGATAATACATAACATATATAAAGGTTGAGAGTGAACACGGATGCGGCCACTTTCGTTTTTGACAAAAACCATCTGAAAAGTGATATATTATGGCATATTTGATCGATTTTTCATATTTAAGCTTGAGTTTGAGCGTCTGAAATGACTAAATCAGTTAAAATCTTTCACATTAGCTAATTGAATATACTGAAGTAGACACTTAAATGTTAAAAAAGTGTCCAAAACCTTTCATCAGATGAACCTGAAATTTGAGGCCAAAATCGGCCCTTACCGGACCTACTCCTTTGCATCTAATAAATTAAGAACTTAAAAAAAAACGATTCAATGAACAAATCAGTTGAGGATCACTTAATGTTCGTGTTGCTCAGTCTTTTGTTTATGTTGTAATTTGTAGACTGTTGATAGTCTTTAAGTCTTTTCTTTTTGTTTTGGCCATGGCGTTGTCAGTTTATTTTCGAATTTAGAAAAAAAAAATAGAATAATATAAGAGCGACTATCAACAAATATATGTTCAATAAAAACAGAAAATACCATGGAAGACAAAAAATCTAAAGAAAATACAAATATTTATACACACTACACAAAAAATTTAAAATTCACACGAATCCCAAAAAACTAGGTTGTGAACATGGGGTGATCCAAAAGGATTAGCAGTTCTTGCACAACTAGTGACACCATTCGAACCAACTTGTCTATAGTTTTGAAGCATGATCGTGCCATTTGAGCATACACTTATTAATCGAAAAAATTGGACGACGTAGCGTGTTTATGGACTATTTGTCAATGAGATGAAACTCTGACATGAAAAGAACTTGTATTGTGTCTTTCAGCCTGGAATGTCTATGATATTAATTCTGTATTGATAATCACATGGTGGCAAAACTGTTATATAATTGCTTTTCATGAGTTGTTTATTAGTGGTAGGAACTCATTTAATATTGCTTAATATGATCGATGAAGCTAGGCTTTGTGTCAGGAAAATATTTCGAATATATTTTCGCACATTATCATGAAAGTTTTGTTCTATTTTGAAGTTAATTGCTTTCTAACACTTATATTTCAAAATAGAACAAAACAATTTTCATTTAACTTTGACGCGTTTATTTATAAAGCATTTCAACCTTTTAAAATATTCAAATAACTATAATATACATATAAAGATGATGAAGAAACGATATGTGTACCTTAAATTGACACAAAGCTATTGTCAATTTCATTTGATTATTTATATGAAACAATATCAAATGCATCGAAATGTTTTAAATGCACTTCTTCATTCAACAGCCATGTTCTTACATTTTTAAGGCTGCAATGGCAAAGTCTACTGATAGCCAATCTGCTGAAATGAAAGACCAACTTTACAGTTTCTTAAAGGACAGTCTTTTAGATCCATTATATTGGAAAGATGTGTTCGCAGCAAAACATGTAACGCTACCAGAACAACTGTCATTTCTAGAGGAAGACGACTGGCAGTCATTTAAAGAAAAAAGCAGAGAGCCGTGGGAAAGGAAGATAATTGAAAAGATTCGAATCAATTCTCAATTACATCTACCGTCGTCGGAGGAGCTCAAAACAATTATTAACAATCATGGTTTAGAAGAAGTTTATTGGATACAAGTCTTCAATGGTATAGGCGTAACAACTCATCAACAACTAAAAAACATGCATTCGGACGCTTGGGATCATCTCATATCTATGTCACGGTCATCATATCAAAATGAAAAAGCTGCTTTAAAAAACCTACAGCGTCAAACACAGGAAAAATCAGTTTCATGTTTACCTGATGAAGACTATATAAATTGGGATAAACAAATGAAGGAAGGGAAACTCAACCGGCAAATAGTTAAATGCGATAACCTTGGCCACGAAACAAAAATAATGAAAGAACAGATGAACGATAAGAACACAGCGCTTTCGTTAGATTCGTGTAGAAAAGTTGTTAATGGGCATGAAATGAAAATGTCTAACGCAACCACACCTGCAGTTTCTATTAGTTCTGTTGAAATGCTTAAAGAGATTTTAAGTAAAGCATCCAGCGGTATAATCTGTCGCGGGTTTTATATATCTAAAGATGGTGATGAAAAACCCGGATCACAAGCAATAGAAATGTGTGGCCAATTGAAATTATTGGCACCAGAGACAAACGAAAAAGAGGAAGGAAAGGAATTTTTTACAAAGAAGGACTACGATGAGTTTCAAAGTCGTATAGATGATGGAATATTAGATATATCGCTACTCGGAAGCCTTGGAAAAGGAGCATACTCACGTCAAAGCAATTCAAAAAAATTAGCAGGAAATAAGTCAGGTGAAACGTTTTACTCTAAAATGAAATCTTCCATAATATCAGTAAACACAACTGAATTAGATAAAACCAATATTCGCTTAACTGTAGGTGCGGTAGATCAATTAAAAAAAGTAGAAAACTTGATGCTAACGTTTGGAAAGAATAGCATCTTAGCACGGGATACAATGCTCACATTTTTTCAAAATGTTGGAACGCATGTACATTTTGGTTTAGTTACGCTTGGAGGAGTATATATGTCGTTTGCAATATGTGAACAAACGACGTCACAGTCGTTATTCAAGTTGCAGAAAAATATCAACTTTGTCCTTGGTGCCATACATCCAGTAAAAGCACAGCAAGCAAAAGGCTTCGGTGTTGGTGGTGTAACCAGTTCATCAAATGAATCAGCCACATCGACAGAACAAACCATAAATGAGGAAAACATAGAAACGAAAATTTTAAAAGTCGGTGGTCCTTCTGCAAGTGACTTTCTTGAATGGAAAAGGGGAATAGTAAGCAACCCTTACGATCTTGCAGTTATTCACATGGATAAAGTAGGTATATGGTGTTTAGTCGAATGGAGGGACTATGGTTTGAACAATCCTAATTTTCTTTCTCGTTACATTTACGATTCTTTCAAAATACACGAAACAGAGATAGGGTCTTCAGATGACAGTTTTCAGTTCCACCTTACGAAAACATGCGATTTATTCCTTAATCTACAAGGATGGCTTAACAACTGTCAGAATGTGCAGTTGCCTCAATTGTTTGAAATGCTTGATCTGTTTTTGAATCAAAATGATAACCCTTACTATGACGAACTTATTCATTCTAGTCTTATTATAAAATTTATTGAAAGAGTCATCGAAAATAAATACACATTATCATGCCATGATACAATACTGATTAAATTTCGTACACAAGCACTTGTTTCTGCTTTGCAATCAGCAACTGATTTTGAAATCAATTACAAAATCTTAAACTTTCAAAACGACGCCGTCTGGAAATGGGAGTTTGATAACTTTGAAACATGTGTAGACTACATTAAAACTGATATGCTTCCAATATTCGAAGATGAAAGCATAAAGGAAAGATTTCAGGACCAGTTGGAACGAGAATTATGTAGATTTTGTGACTTATCATCCGAATCAAATGCAACTGGTGGAAATGTGTTTCGTCGTCGTCTTTGTTTATTAGCCCAGGCACGGCATAGGGAAAGAATGCAAAAATGTTTTAAGTCCTACTCGATTCTGTCAGAATTTTCTTTTCTCGTTAATAGCTTTAAAGACGGAGACTGCAAGGCTGTGTTCTCGCATAGTCTATTAAAAAGTGATAAAGAGTTCAAAACTTTTATCGATGAAATTTGCATCCCTATGTGGGAAGACATGGAACAGAAAGACATAGCTAACTCAGAAAGTGAGACTCATGAGCTTGATAAACTTTTGTTGTCGAATATCAAATTGCTTTGTGGGAAATCGATATCCTCTTCGCCTAAAAATAGCGAAATGTCATTTAGAAAGGGTATTCAACTCTGTTGTAATGAAGAGACATCATGTTCGCTTTTCAAGGAAAATTGCACGAAGATAAAAAAACAAATCCTTTGTTCAAACAAAGCAAAGGCATTTATATTACTCATTGGGAGCATTGCTACATTTACATGTATTTTAATCCGTCTTAAATAGCAATAATTGACTGAATTCAACATGTTCAACTGTACAAAATCAGTTTCGTTCGCATCATTTTGTTACTGTGTTAAACGATAAATTGTTAATACAAAAGTCGTAAAAGGGTATAAGTCTCTGATGCATGTTTTTTTTATTATTATTAATTGTTTTGGCTTTTAACTAGCTGTCAGTAACTGCGAGTACTCTCAAATCGTACTTTCTCTTTAATTTGACCTGTTGATACTATTTGTAATGCTTTTTTTGTTATTTAATGTTAACATGGATCTTGTCTATATACCAGCTTTGATTATTTGGTATTACTACAAATTTTCACTTCTTTGTACTATGAACATCAAAATTATTTCATTTCTCCGTAAAAAATGTTCTCGGACCTGCACAGGAAGTTTTATCTAGCACTTATAGTATAGTTATATTGTTGATATTCACCCCATATGTACCAAGTGTTAGATTAGTTTCATTGATATTAAAGAAATCTCTTGGTATTCCTAACCGGAAGATTTTATACACACAGAAGAAGAAGTATACTTAACAACAAAATTATTTTCATTTACCTGTGTATAATATGGCGCAGGTTTCTTCAAAAGTGATGAATTTCTAAAAATTGTTTAACATTTCACAGTGATATCATACTTTAACTTTGTTTAAACCTGTTTATTTACTTTTGACTTTAATTATTTATCCCTTATAATTTTTATTAACTATGTATTTGCATTCAGGTATCACAGATCAAATTTATTCGTTCATAGTGTGTTAATCTACGTTTTTTTGATTGAGTTACGCCTTCCAATTGATATTTTATAGTGTGTCTTTCTATGTTGTGATGTTATACTATTGTTTCAGAAAAGGGAGAAGGTTTGGTACCATTAAAACGTTTAATCCCGCTGCAAATATTTGCACCTGTCCTAAGTCAGGAATCTGATGTACAGTAGTTGTCGTCCGTTTATGTAGTTCATACGTGTTTCTCGTTTCTCGTTTTTATATAGATTAGACCGTTGGTTTTCCCGTTTGAATGGTTTTACACTAGTAATGTTTGGGGCCCTTTATAGCTTGCTGTTATGTGTGAGCCAATGCTCCGTGTTGAAGGCCGTACCTTGACCTATAATAGTTTACTTTTATAAATTGTAACTTGGATGGAGAGTTGTCTCATTGGCACTCATACCACATCTTCCTATATCTATATAAAGCAGTAGTTTTGACATTTCCGCTGAATTAATTCCTCAAGGCTCATTTTATAAATGTACTTCAATCTTTATTAAGTTATTACAATTGCAGTTATGACAGCTTTTAGCTAATTTGAGTTATCATAAACAAAATGTACAAAAAAGACGTTCTTCAACAAAACCATAAAATCAATAGAAGAATTTTCATATAATGTTGCTGAATTCAATGGACTTAATTCAAATGATTTCGTTGTCCTGTATGGCATGGTATTGGTTGCAAAAATTTGATATTTTTCATTTAAATGCAATATTTTTTATTCAATTGGTATATTTCTTCATTTGAATGCAATATTTTTTTATTTGAATGGTATATTTTTTCATTTAAATGCAATATTTTTTATTCAAATGGTATAATATGTCATTCAAATGCAATGTTTTTTTATTCAATTGGTATATTTCTTCATTTAAATGCAATATTTTTTATTCAAATGGTATAATTTGTCATTCAAATGCAATATTTTTTATTCAATTGGTATAGTAGTTTTTTTTATTTATATGCAATAATTGCATTATGGGAAATTCTTTGACGTCTTAAGGTCAAACTTGCAACAACGTTTCTGATTGGTCGGTAATTGTTTGGATTTCCCCCTTTCTTTCTAAACATGAGTGACCAAGAATTAAAAAACCGCGTCAGAATATCGCCTCTCTAACTAAATCTGGCGTTCGTGCGAGTCCTGCACTGGCTGTTAAAATCTTCTGGTCCTAACTATTATTTCAATTGCAAAATTTCGATGGTCAAATCGTTCGGACCACCACTTTTCAAAAACTTTCATTGTATATGGATCTATATGCAAGTATATCGTTTTTTTAACTAGATTAGACACCGTTGATTTTCCCGTTTGAATGGTTTACACTAGTCATTTTTTGGGAGCCCTTTATAGCTTGCTGTTCGGTGTGAGCCAAGTCTCCGTGTTGAAGACCGTACTTTGACCTATAATGGTTTACATTTACAAATTATGACTTGGAAGGAGAGTTGTCTCATTGGCACTCATACCACATCTTCTTATATCTATATACAACATAAACCAGACGTTTCTCATACTGTTTTCTTTTTTAATAAATCCTTTGCCGCGCGCTGTGTACTGATTGATACTTCAGTCTGGGAAAACAAGATTTATTCCAGTACTAGTTGTAGTTAGCTTTGAGCAAACTTCCTGTAATTGTAAATACTCTTATGTCGGTGCGTTGTGTCTATTGTCTTAATGTTAGTTTTTTTTGTGTGTGTCTCATACCGATCTTTTGAGTTGATCTAATTGCAACTGATTAGTGCAGGTTGTTCATTTATTGTAATGTTACACCACTGTCCCAGCTTCGGGATGGGTTGAGTGCCGCTCACAAACATGTTGTTGTACTGTTACACCACTGTCCCAGGTTAGGGGAGGTTTGAGATCCCGCTAACATGTTTGACCAGGCCACATTCTGTATGTATGTATGTGCTTGTCCCAAGTCAGGAGCCTGTAATTCGGTGGTTGCCTTTTGTTGCTGTGTTATACATATTTGTGTTTCGTTCATTTTTTTGTACATTAATTCGGCCGTTAGTTTTCTCGTTTTAATTGTTTTACATTTGTGATTTCGGGGCCTTTTATATAGCTGACTATGTGGCAGGCTTTGCTTATTGTCGAAGGCCGTACGGAGACTTATAGCTGTTGATTTCTGTTTAATTTGGTCTCTTGTGGAGAGTTGTCTCATTTGCAATCATACGGTACCACATCTTCGTTTTTATATCAACCCTGCAATATTCTTTATTTGCCTGTCCCAGGTCAGCCTGTAGTTTAGTGGTTGTCGTTGATTCATGTCTCGACCTGTATTTGATTTTTTGCAAATTGTTTTGTTATGTATAATTAGGCCGTTAGTTTTTTTCGTTTGAATTGTTCACACTTTTCATGTCGGACCTTTTACAGACGACTGAATAGTATCAGGTTTTTATCATTGTTGAAGGCCTTACGATTGTGTATAATTGCTTACATCCACTTCATATTTGAACTCCGGTGGATAGTTGTCTTATTAGCAATCATATCCCATCTCTTCATTTTTGTCGAGCCTTCGACTTTAGTCATAGCGATCCTACATTCCGTCGGCGTCGTCGTCGTCGTCGGCGGCGTCCACAAATATTCACTCTGTGGTTAAAGTTTTTGAAATTTTAATAACTTTCTTAAACTATCCTGGATTTCTACTAAACTTTGACAGAAGCTTGTTTATGATCATAAGATAGTATCCAGAAGTAAATTTTGTAAAAATAAAATTCCATTTTTTCCGTATTTTACTTATAAATGGACTTAGTTTTTCTGCCGGGAATTTACATTCACTCTGTGGTTAAAGTTTTTAAAATTTTAATAACTTTCTTAAACTATCCTGAGTTTGTATCAAACTTGGACAGAAGCTTGTTTATGATTATAATATAGTATCCAGAAGTAAATTTTGTAAAAAAATAAATCTATTTTTTCCTTATTTTACTTTTAAATGGACTTAGATTTTCTGCCAGGAAACAACACATTCACTCTGTGGTTAAAGTTTTTAAAATTTTAATAACTTTCTTACACTAATTTGGATTTGTACCAAACTTGGACAGAAGCTTGTTTATGATCAAAAGCTAGTATCTAGAAGGAAATTTTGTAAAAAAATAAATCCATTTTTTCCGTATTTTACTTTTAAATGAACTTAGATTTTCTGCCGGGAAACAACACATTCACTCTGTGGTTTAAGTTTTTAAAATTTTAATAACGTTCTTATACTATTTTGGATTTGTACCAAACTTGGACAGAAGCTTGTTTATGATCAAATGCTAGTATCTAGAAGGAAATTTTGTAAAAAAATAAATCCATTTTTTCCGTATTTTACTTTTAAATGAACTTAGATTTTCTGCCGGGAAACAACACATTCACTCTGTGGTTTAAGTTTTTAAAATTTTAATAACGTTCTTATACTATTTTGGATTTGTACCAAACTTGGACAGAAGCTTGTTTATGATCAAATGCTAGTATCTAGAAGGAAATTTTGTAAAAAAATAAATCCATTTTTTCCGTATTTTACTTTTAAATGGACTTAGTTTTTCTGCCAGGAAACAACACATTCACTCTGTGGTTAAAGTTTTTAAAATTTTAATAACTTTCTTACACTAATTTGGATTTGTACCAAACTTGGACAGAAGCTTGTTTATGATCAAAAGCTAGTATCTAGAAGGAAATTTTGTAAAAAAATAAATCCATTTTTCCGTATTTTACTTTTAAATGAACTTAGATTTTCTGCCGGGAAACAACACATTCACTCTGTGGTTTAAGTTTTTAAAATTTTAATAACGTTCTTATACTATTTTGGATTTGTACCAAACTTGGACAGAAGCTTGTTTATGATCAAATGCTAGAATCTAGAAGGAAATTTTGTAAAAAAATAAATCCATTTTTTCCGTATTTTACTTTTAAATGGACTTAGATTTTCTGCCGGGAAACAACACATTCACTCTGTGGTTTAAGTTTTTAAAATTTTAATAACGTTCTTATACTATTTTGGATTTGTACCAAACTTGGACAGAAGCTTGTTTATGATCAAATGCTAGTATCTAGAAGGAAATTTTGATTTCTTCCAGTTAACATTACATTCAGTTTGCAGTTAAAGTTTTTAAACATTTATTAGATTCATAAACTATCCTAGATTTTTACCAAACTTGGACAGAAGCTTCTTACAATCAAAAGATAGTATCAAGAGGAATATTTTTATTGATTTACTTCCTCATTTTTGTTGAGCCTGCAATTTACAGAAAAAGTAGGCGAGACACTGGGTTCCGCGGAACCCTTACGAATTTTTATATTATATACCTGACTTCTAAACTCGTGTTTTCCTGAACAAGCATGAAATATTTGTCACTGGGCGTTAACAATTAGCAACAAAACAATCAATCAATTTAAACTTGTGTTAAATAAGAGGAAAACCATTTGATATTTATTTATTTGTTGGGGTGGGGGACAGAAGGATTTCATATATATGAGTATGGTTGCCTGGTAAGAGCTGAAAAATAGGCACGATTAGCGACAGATTAAAATGAATAATAATGCCCTCT